AAGGAAGGAAGGAAGGAAGGAAAGAAACAACCATAACAATACTTTGAACTTTCAGCAGGAGAGAACAGACTTATGGTTACTAGATGTGGGAAGAGGAGGTGGGGGGGGTGAGGGAGAAATTGCATAAGCGACACAAAGAACAATTATGATCTGTAATGATGAATATGCTAATAGTATTGATCTGATCATCACTTCTGTACACAAATACTGATAGTCAACTCTGCACCGCATAAATATGTATAATAAATTGTTTCAATTAAAAAAACTGCAAGGGAATTTGATGATGATGGGCCCCCAATTCTAGCAGGTGCCATGAAAATGTCTTGTGACAGGGGCATAGGGGTGCATATCAGTACACAGCAATAAAAGGATAAAGGCTCGGAAGATTGGAAATCTGAGAAGAAATGCATTCAATCAGAAATATATGGGGACACTAGGCCCCTGACCTCTCAGCAGTCCCCCGCTGATGTGGCAGACAAGAAGACAAATAGATGCCTTTTCAACAGGATTGATGTGGGGGAATCCTGCCTAAGAGAGGCCTCTGACTCTGGTCACCCTTCCAGGTAACCACAGTCATTCTCCCTGACCCTCTTTCTGCTCTGACCACGATGGCATTTTCTCATCACCTCAAATACACAATGTTTTCCGCCCCCTGTAGTATTCGCATTGACCAGGCCATCTCTCCACTTCCCTTTAGCAACCCCCTACTCATCTTTCGGGTCTCAACCTAAATACAATTATTTCCTTTGCCCCAAGCATACACTGCCAGAGAACCTTCTACTTGTTCATGACATTTGAAATTTCTGCCTAATGAGTGTTTTCAGCTCTGGAGTGTAAGCTTCATCAGGGAAGTGACTGTCTTCTTTTCTCTGTCCTCCTGCATGGAATTAAGTTTGTACCTGCAAGGGACTCAGCTACTATCTGCCAACAGACTGACTTGAGTCTGACTGGTGTAGACACATTTCAGAATAGACCATGAGCTTAAGAGATGGACCAATTAAAACTGGCTTCTCCAAGCTGTCTCTTACTTACTTTAAGGTGCTGAGCATATATTTAACTTCTCCTAACACTACTATCTGCCAACAGACTGACTTGAGTCTGACTGGTGTAGACACATTTCAGAATAGACCATGAGCTTAAGAGATGGACCAATTAAAACTAGCTTCTCCAAGCTGTCTCTTACTTACTTTAAGGTGCTGAGCATATATTTAACTTCTCCTAACCTCAGTTTTCTCATCTGGATAAAATGATCACCATGCCTACTAACACTGTTGTGACGATTAAACTTCACCACATGTGAAAAAACCCAACATAATGATAGCACATAGTACATGATTTATATAACTGATGTCCAACCTCTCACACTCTTGACGAAGGAAATACAGATTAATAAACATAAGAGTGCATTAGCAATTCCTTAGAAAGTTTATCAGAGTATTAGTTTGTGCTCCCACGTGTTCAATTCAATCTCCCCAGTGTTTTTCACATAAATTGCTGTCAGCACAGGTTTCCTTATTTTTGCCTTTGAAAGAAGATTGGAACACGTGCATTAAATAAACTTCATCCAAAATTCATTTTGTACATTTATCTTAAGCTCATCCCTTAGATTTGAAAATACCAAATTTCACAAGCAACAACCTACAGGGATAGGAATGAACACATAGAAATAGACATTTAGTCACCTGCACACATAACATAAGCTTCCTCTTTTGGAGAGCAAGATCTGTATTTCCAAGGGTCAGAAGGACACTGCCAGAAGGAGGTGTCAGTTTTCCGACACTGGATGCCATCCACCCATTGAGGTCTAGAACCTTCCCTGAGAGCGACAGAAGAGTTGAGAGTCCCACTGTCCCCACAGCCAAGCTGTGTGCAGATCATGGACAAGGTCATGGCTTCCATGGAGCTTCCGCAGACACTGCCCCAGGTGTTGTTGTAGAAAACTTCCAGCCACCCAGCACACTCCTGATCCTCGCTGACCATCCGGAGGGCGAGGAACTCTAAAATGGCGAGGAGAAAACCAGAGCACAGTGAGCGTTCCACTCTTAACCCTCTAGGGATTTTTTTTTCCTATCCCCAAGGTAGTGAAAGCTCATCGCTGACTCTGCCAAAGAAGCACCCACTATACGGAAAGACTGAAACTTTTATCTTTTTAACTTGCTTTTGAACATGCCTTTGTGTCTCTCTATTTCTATCACAATGTGATAGAATATGAACAGGCAGGAACACTGACCTGAGCATTGTGCAGGTAGGCAAAACCGAACCCTGCTTGCTGATCAAACTTCTGACAGACTATGCTACAAGGAATGTAGACAGTGGGGTGGTAGACAGAATAACTGAGACAAAGATACCCAGGCCCTTGTTCTCAGAATCTGCCAGTATGTTACTTTATATGGCAGAGGGATTTTGCAGACATGATTAAGATAAGAAATCTGGGATGGTGAGATTATCCTGGGTTAACCAGGTGAGTCCAGTGTAATTATTTCCTTAGACCTGCTATTCTTAATAGCAGATGACCTTTCCAGCCTTAGTCAGAGGGAGGTGTGACTGTGGAAGAAAGTCAGAGCGCTGCAACAGTGTGGGTCTGAAGAAGGAAGGAGAGCTATGAACGAAGAAATGCAGGAGACTTATAGAAGCCAGAAAAGGCAGGGAGACTAATTCTTCCCTAGAGCCTCAGAGAAATGCACCTCTGCTGACACCTTGTTTTTAGCCCAGTGAACCTGAGTTGAACTTCTACAGAACTGTAAGAAAACAAACAAAACAATGTGTCATTTCAAGCCAGTAACTTTGTGGTAATATGTTAGCAGCAATAGGAAAACAACACAGTGGGTCTCGAGATTTTGCTACCACAGGTAACTGAAGAGCTCTCACATGGACACTGTGGGAAATGACTGTGTCAGGAGATTCTGCTGAGAAGGAAGAGCCAGAATCTCAGCTGCTGTGGGAGGAAATGCAAGCACCTGATCTCTTTCTCTGCTAGAAAGACAGGCACTAGGGTGGGAGCCTCATCCTCGCCCCCCCACCCCAGCCTAGGGACAATGTAGAAGACAGACCTGAGCAGATGACCCCTGCGTCCTCCTTGTGCCAGCAGTTGTGCTGCCCCCAGCCCCGGGAAGGGCACTTCCACACGTGGGACTCCTTTCCTGTGCAGTTCAGGTCGTCCAGCCAGATGGGCCCAGATCCCGCCCCGAAGTGAGCAGAGACCGTGGCATTGAGGGCCTCTCCACAGCCCAGCTGTCTGCACACCACGTGGGCATCGCTCAGGTCCCAGCTGTCATCGCAGACGGTGCCCCAGGAGCCCTGGTGAAGGATCTCCACTCTCCCGGCGCAGCGACTGTCCCCGTCCACCAGGCGGAGCTGTCTGCTCTCTGGGGAGAGAAAGAGTCAAGCAAATGGGACATTTATGTAGCAAATGAGGGAGAAAGTGATGTCAAGCAAGATGGCAAAATAGGAAACATAGGGAGTTCTGGCAGGGCTAGATCCCCTGGGGTCAGTTAGAAACAAAGGTCGGTAGAGCTCACAAAGACCAGGGCTCAGATCATCTCGGCTGCGCTGCATTCCTCCAGATTCTCAGCGCACTGCAGCCCCGGTGACACCTCGTTTCTACCCCAGGCAGCCCTTGTGGTACTTCTGATCCATAGAGCTATAACACGATACGTTTGTGTTGTTCTAAGGTAGCAATTTTGCGGTAATTTGTTACAACACAGCAGCGACAGTAAACTAACACAGGGGGTCTCAAGATTTTGCTACCACAGGTAACTAAAGACAGAGACTGCTTTCGAATGGACACTCTAGAAATGACTGTGTCAGGACATACTGCTGAGAAGGAAGAGCCAGAATCTCAGCTGCCGCAGAAGGAAACGCAGCACCTGATCTCTGAATCGGCTGGAAAGACAGGCACTATGGAAGGAGCCTCCTTCCCCACTGGCCCTTTCGGCAGCTCCCCCTCGTCCTGCAGGGCTCAGGCAGACACCCATCCCTTCCTCCCCCGGCCTATGGACCATGTGCAGTGCAGACCTGAGCAGATGACCCCTGCGTCCTCCCCGTGATTGCAGTTGTGCTGCCCCCAGCCCCGGGAAGGGCACTTCCACACGTGGGACTCCTTTCCTGTGCAGTTCAGGTCGTCCAGCCAGATGGGCCCAGATCCCGCCCCGAAGTGAGCAGAGACCGTGGCATTGAGGGCCTCTCCACAGCCCAGCTGTCTGCACACCACGCGGGCATTGCTCAGGTCCCAGCTGTCATCGCAGACGGTGCCCCAGGAGCCCTGGTGAAGGATCTCCACTCTCCCGGCGCAGCGACTGTCCCCGTCCACCAGGCGGAGCTGTTGGCTCTCTGGGGAGAGAGAGAGACCAGTCAATGGGGCATTTGTACAGGGAATGAGGGAGAGAGGGACGTCAGCAAGGTGGCAGAACAGGAATTCTTGGGCTTTACTATGCCTCCCACTCCCCCACCCCCGCCCCCACCCAAGTCCAAATCGCGACTATCCTCTTGATATCTCAGAACTCGGGAGTGAGGATGAAACACCCCTTGGACTGGAGAACCGAGGAAAGCCACGATCGAACGCTAAGAAGAACGGTTTTCCTTGGCCCCGTCGCCCCTGAATCAGGCCGGCACAGAGTCACACAGAGATGCTCCCCTGGACTCGTGGTTTCTACAGTGGCAAAAGCGAGTTGGAGGCAGCCGTTCAGCTGCCCCATCATTCTGGGACCCTTTGCAGGAGAGCCACCACTGTCTGGGCCCTCGGGAAACATTGAGAGTACTGGCAGGGACAGACCTAGACCACCCGGGATCCCTTAGGAACAAAAAACCGGGGCGTGGCTCACGACGACCAGAACGTGGACCATCGTGGCTGCCTTGCATTCGTGCATTTTCTCAGAGGAATGAAGCTCTGCGGACACTGTTGAGATCCTCGATGGACTTTCTAACCTGCAGAGCTGTAAGACGTGTGTTGCTCTAAGCCACTAACTTTGTGACAATTTGTTACATGGCAATAGTAAACTAATACAGTGCGTTTCAAGATTTTGCTACCACAGGTAACTGACGAGTGAGCCCTGCGTTCAAAAGGACACTGTAGAAAAGGACTGTTTCAGGAAATATTACGGGGAAGAAAGGACTAGAACCTCAACTGCTGCAGGAAGAAATGCAAGCACGTGATTTTCACATCTGCTAGAAGGACAGGAGCCTCTTTCCCCACTGGCCCTTTCAGCAACTCGCTCTATTCCTCCAGGGCTCAGACGGACGCCCAGACTTGAGACCCCTTCCAACCTCCTCCCCCGGCCTATGGACCATGTGCAGTGCGGACCTGAGCAGATGACCCCTGCGTCCTCCCCGTGATTGCAGTTGTGCTGCCCCCAGCCCCGGGAAGGGCACTTCCACACGTGGGACTCCTTTCCTGTGCAGCTCACGTCGTCCAGCCAGATGGGCCCAGATCCCGCCCCGAAGTGAGCAGAGACCGTGGCATTGAGGGCCTCTCCACAGCCCAGCTGTCTGCACACCACGCGGGCATTGCTCAGGTCCCAGCTGTCATCGCAGACGGTGCCCCAGGAGCCCTGGTGAAGGATCTCCACTCTCCCGGCGCAGCGACTGTCCCCGTCCACCAGGCGGAGCTGTCTGCTCTCTGGGGAGAGAAAGAGTCAAGCAAATGGGACATTTATGTAGCAAATGAGGGAGAAAGTGATGTCAAGCAAGATGGCAAAATAGGAAACATAGGGAGTTCTGGCAGGGCTAGATCCCCTGGGGTCAGTTAGAAACAAAGGTCGGTAGAGCTCACAAAGACCAGGGCTCAGATCATCTCGGCTGCGCTGCATTCCTCCAGATTCTCAGCGCACTGCAGCCCCGGTGACACCTCGTTTCTACCCCAGGCAGCCCTTGTGGTACTTCTGATCCATAGAGCTATAACACGATACGTTTGTGTTGTTCTAAGGTAGCAATTTTGCGGTAATTTGTTACAACACAGCAGCGACAGTAAACTAACACAGGGGGTCTCAAGATTTTGCTACCACAGGTAACTAAAGACAGAGACTGCTTTCGAATGGACACTCTAGAAATGACTGTGTCAGGACATACTGCTGAGAAGGAAGAGCCAGAATCTCAGCTGCCGCAGAAGGAAACGCAGCACCTGATCTCTGAATCGGCTGGAAAGACAGGCACTATGGAAGGAGCCTCCTTCCCCACTGGCCCTTTCGGCAGCTCCCCCTCGTCCTGCAGGGCTCAGGCAGACACCCATCCCTTCCTCCCCCGGCCTATGGACCATGTGCAGTGCAGACCTGAGCAGATGACCCCTGCGTCCTCC